GCATTGTTGATGCTGCTACGGTTGTTAGGGTGAAAAGTGTACGCCACTTTCAAGTCATCTGCAAAGAGGAAGGTTTTCCCTGATTGAAAGCAGGGGCATATGTCACTTATGTACAGAAGAGGTCCGAGAACGGAGCCTTGGATAACCATACTGGTGATATTTCTGGGAAGGGAACAATGTGAGCCTGTGTTGACATCTTGGATGCGGTTCAACAGAAATGAGCCGATCCAGTCATGCAACTTGCCACCTATTCCAAATGAATTCAGTTTCTGAAGGAGTGTGGGGTGATGCATTTTGTCAAAGGCTTTGGTGAAATCGAAGTAAAGCGAGGCAACCACGTTTCCACCATCTCTACTGTCAACTACGTATTCGAAGAACTCTGGGTGACACGTGATACAAGATTGCTTAGATAGAAATCCATGCTGCGAGGAGTCCATAAGTTTGTGATCCGAAACGTGAGAAAGGATGGCGTTTTTCACCACTTTCTGCACCACACGCGAGAGGACAGATGTTATTTTGATGGGACGGTAATTTTCCGAGCAGCGTGGAGCCTTTCCTAAAGCACGGAGTAATATGACTAGTCTTCCACAAAACCAGGAAAGTGCCAGGCTGAATATTTTTGCTGGCAACGTGGGGAAGTCCGCGCAGCCATTTTTAATGGAAATCCCAGGTATCCCACTCACTCTCCCACTAAGAGAGGGTTTCAATGGGTTTATTGCGTCACGTGCGTTGCTCAGGTCAAACTCAACTTCCGAGATTTCATATGCCCCAGTGCCACTGAGTGTAACAAGGCTGCTATTACGACTAGTGAAAGAAGGGCCAACCGTTTCTCTTAGCATTCTGCATATCTCTGTGGGGTCCGTAACAACCTTGTTGCCTACTTTCAACATATTCAGCATGTCAAGTCTGTCACAAAGTTTCCTTTTGAGGGAAGTGGCAAGAATACCAGTTTTATTCTCATGTTTCAGAATTTATCCCCAGTAAGGGTTTCACATTTTCATCTGTGAACTTCCAGGTCACTGAAAACGGTGTGGATACTAAGAATGGCAGAAAAGTCATGGGATTAGCAAAACGTTTTTCAGTTTCCTTGGTTTTCGCCTGAATGTGATGGGGATGCAGTCTTTGTTGTTGATATGAGACCTTTGTGCCTTCCTTGGGGCTACGGAGTCGAGACAAATGTTTAAATTGAGATAGAAATTCGCAAAAGAGTTGTTCAGATCATCGGATGAAGAGAACTCATCCCAGTCTAAACAACGCATTAAGTATTGTGAGCTTGGCCAACCGACGTCGATAAAACATCTGCGAACAAGTGTTGCAGTCCTCAGTGGTGTGGGAGTGCACCTACATGGCGCAAAGAGTTGACAGGCGACAACCTTGTGGCCACTTTCCAGGAATTCGGTGCTAGTTTGTATGGTGAATTGTGGTGCGCTGTTTAAAAAAATCAGGTCAAGTATATTATATCGTTGAGTACAGCTGTTAGCAACCTGAACATATCCATTGGTTTCTAAGATTTGAAAGAATAGCTTAAAATGAGATGATCCTTGCAGTATCTTCCATATGATACATGGCATATTAAAATCACCACCCACTACTGTACAAGTTGGTAGGGATGATAGAAGCTTGAATATTTCGTCTATATGTTCGTCAGTGGCAGGTCCAGCGCTCGGTGACCTATATGGGCAACCGACGGTAATTTCGTAACGTTGGCAAGTGTTGATGTTCACGAATACCGCACCATCTAAAAGGTCCCGACTCAACGGGAAGGCATTTGAAGACGAAAAATCAGAGCGAACATAGACGATGCAACCCCCACCTTTAGAAGTCCTGAGGTCACCACGATACAAATTGTGATTATCGAACGCGAGCCTGCGGTTTGAGGTATCTGACGTACACCAAGTTTCAGTGGCTAAAATGCAGCATGGTTTGATCAAGCAAGCTGAAGATTTTAGACAATTCACCTTATTGCAAACTGAACGTGAGTTGAACGGAAGAACAAAGAATTTGGATGGGGCTATGAGAAGGCTTAGGTCATCAGTGAGATGGGATAAAAGTGTTCTTTCGTGGTCATCATTCAAGTCAACTGGATGTGGGGCGGGAAATTTCAGGACATAGGCAAGTTCCTTAAAGTTGCTTGCGGGACTACCCATTGTTGCCTCCGACGATAATCGATCATTGGTTGGCCTTGGGGATGGGAAGGCCGACTGGGACATCACGCACCAGGCCCTGGAGTGGAATCTCAAGGGGAAACGACAAGCTGGTCATCGAGCTGGGGGTGACATGGAGGAGATCATGTGAGAAAGAAATGAAAGCTTGTGGGCAGTCGTGAAGCCAGGTTCAAAAGACTGCAGATAAGAGAATGCAGTTGAGGCTTGCTACTGAAGCCCCATGTTCCACTAGGAACCCAAGGTGAGAAATTAATAATACTAATCAGCTCGGATTGAGCTACGCGGGGTTGTAACCCTGGCAGCTGGCAGACCAACACGCCTCTCAAGTCTGACAACCATGACCTCGTCTAGACTAGCGGCTGTCAACTTCGAATCCTCAGAAGTTCTTGCTATAGTGCTACAGACTTTGTACAAAGTTAAGGGCACCATAGGCGGGACTGCCCGCTGCTGTGAAGGCGGGCCCAAGACACTGTGACAGCAGCGACGACAGCCCCTCCCGGTGCCCAAGGCACCATCACTATCAACGGACAAGACATTCAAATAGGCCGAGGCTCTAGATAACCCCCAGAAAGCACTGTGGGAAAAGTCGTGATTGGGCCGGTTCCGCAGGGGCTGGCCGTCCTGTAACACATTTTGCCACTGCTCACGCCCTCCTACAGCCTGAGACCACCAAGGCACCCCGTGTTGTTAGAAACACCTCCAAGTGTCTTTACTACAATATGAGGGCACTTGGAGACAAGATGGGGGACCTACGATCTCTCTGTTCCTACCTTGGCCCGAAGGTCGTAATCCCAACAGAAACTTGTTTATCATCGCATATTGGCGACATCAAAACCCGTTTAGATGGTGAGCGTCTGTTCAGGTGATACGGGGAGCTCAATGGAGGAGGCGGAGTGGCGATGTTTATAAGTGACCACCTTAAAGGTGAACGAGCAACTGAAACTCTACTCTTAGGGCTCCGAGACTCCACCAGGCGTCACTTTACATTTGGAAACAGGAAGCACCTGAGAAGTGGAGAATATCTGTAGCTCAGGTGAATGGCCTCGGCTGTATTGTGTTCCCTGAGCTGCGTTGTTTAATCGTGAACCTTCCACCGTCTTTCTAGGTGACACCACCAGCACTAACTAAGTATGAAGTGGGCTGTCAATATTTCTCCATGAGTGACTCAACAGCCTGTCCTGACAAACTGCTTTGTGATTGGTTGTTGTGTCACCAGTGTCACCAGTGTCGCTTCAGATGGCACTGGAAGTGATATTTAATTGTAAAACATGAGTCGTCGCCAGTTTTATTGAAAGACGTCTACAACGAAATGGCAGTGGTGGCATCAGTCCCGCCTTCGGTATGAATGCTTGGTAAATACACACGGTAATTCTAGAGCTGTTGTGGTCACTAAAAATATCGATTTTGAGATACCTCTTCCCAGTGAAGGCACATATCGCATGGATGCAAGATGAAGTGGCTAGTTCACTAAGATGCACAGTTTTTAATACGAGGATCTCTGCAGCCCAACAGGTCATCTTGATTGTCTTCGCTCCGCTTGTATTCTGTACACTAGATCTAAGCGTGTCCAACAGAGTTGTGATATCACCTGGTCACTTCTGTTCATAAGAAGTGAATATTATTTAATGCCATAGGCTAGAACGGTCACTAACAACTAAATGAAACAGATAAAATCTAGTTTATGATTACTACCTTCCTCAAAAGCCCACTCAGCCGGATGAGTTCTGACTGCGGAGGAGTGCGAGACAAAGCGACTAGTTGTTTCAGGTTCAGACGCACTATACCCATCTGATAACCGACATTTTAATGACCGTCCTTACACGGAATAGCACATCACTAGGCCTTGGTAACTGTAGAATGAACACGAGTGGAATACTCAGAAAGAACACTATCACGTGGCCAGGTAAGAATATTTTATTTGCTGTGGCACACCGAAACACCAAGGCGATATAACTAACTGGCTGAAGGATCGCATGTAAGAGATACAATGCAACAGGACAACGTGACAACTAGCGTGAATAGTCGGCTGTTTGCCTTCACCTTAACCAGTTTATCAAAATTACGAAGGCCAGAGCATGTGTTAAGTCTCATCCAACCATGGGCTAATGATTTTGAGACATTGTTTCCCATCACAAGATTCGGACATCTGTCTGGACCTACTAACTCCTTACTCATTGGGTACACACGCACATGCAAATAGTTCGTGTTTCAAATTGGGGATGTTGTGGTATTCGCTGTCAAATATAGGAATGTACCGGGTGTTTACCTGTTAAAACGCAAAAAGTAAAGGATGTTAACACATTATTTGACTGCTGGATCACTACAATGCCTAGCATGCACCTTAATAACCCCAATGAAGGTCTTCGGACATCATAAATCAATTCAACACTAGGTTTAAGTCAGCGCTCATTCTTCTTAAAATTAAAAATGCATGCATAATTTGATAATCGTTCGTTTTGAACTGTCTGAAACAGAAAGCATGCTTATCGCCAAGCCACGCAAACGGTCTACAGGTGCGTCAGCCCTGCTCACAGTATATCTCTTACATCCACCAAGGAACACTGTGGAGCGAAATTGTGACTTGAACGGTATAGTAAGTTGTTACCGTAACTTTGTGCCCTGACTTTCGCTTTCATTGACCCTCGAGATACAAAGCAAATGGGTATGGACTGCTATTATTGGCGCAAGAAAGCCACAACAAGTGCGAAAGTGCTTGTAAATCATGACCTCAAAAGCACTTTTCAGCATCAGGATAGGCTCCTTTGACTCCCTCGTCGTAATAGTTTCACGCCACCTGATTAATAATAGGTAACAAACACAGGTCCTTTACTCTAGATGGAAAGTTTTACGCATATAATACCTCACAAGTTATGCAAAACAAATACAATCTTATGGTTGGGAATTGATTTAGGCTTGGAAGTTTTTTTTATTACATCTACTTTCAGGCGGACCATTCAAACATACTCGCAGGTAAGCTGGCGAAACTTTCTGTCAATAGGTACTGCATTTGCCTTGTCGTTTCAGTTTTTGCATCGACTTCATATTTGTGTTTGCGTTGTTCCATATGCTTAAGTTAGTTTTCTCGTTCGAACAATTGCCTATCTGTTTTACTGATCCATTTCAACATACGCACGCTCACATATTTCTTTTTTGATAACTTTAAATAATCTTTAACCCTTAACTTTTATTGATTAAAAGTTTCTTCAGTTTCGCTGTTGGTTAGCTTTAAAAGGTGTTGCAGTTAAGTAATGCGAACTAACAAAAATGGGGGGAACAAAGGGGTTGAGTGGTAAAATAATAGGCCAATACATTGTAATGGATATTTTGACTATAAAGTTTAAGAAAACATCAACTCATGTACTAGGTGCAATATATTTGATACTTTGGAAGCTCTAACATGCATTACAAACACTTTATTACCCCACTTTTGTTAGTTTAGGAAGCAGATTAGTTAGTGACTACTCAATTTCAAACGACTCGATGGGGTTAATTGCTTTATGAGCACGTGTTTTCATTTTTTGAACACAACAGCTTATTCTTATAGTATGGTGTCACTCAACTAAATAGCTACCTCACTCAGAATATCTCTTGTAGACCTCTGTGACAAGCAACTATGGCCATGAAGTCATTTTTACAGCTGCCAGTCGCTTGAGTGAGCCAGCACATCCGGCCCTTTATAACTAAAATAGGAGTTAATAGCATCTAGATCGTCCACTAACCAAGCTGTTTTAGGATTTGTCCTGGTGCGAACTTGACAGACGCAAAGACCAATCACTAATTATTCGGACTTGTTATATACCCACGAGTACGAGACCAAGGAAGAACACAATAGCGTAATCGGATGGAATAGTATATTTGGATGGTCGTGCCAAGATACCGATGAGTTCCAACTAACTGGCTAGAGAGTCGAATACGAGCAGTGCAACGTAACACGACAGCGTGCCAAATGGTGAGGATGCTTGGCCGGGTGCCTTCAGCTTAGCGAGTCCAGTTAAACTATCAAGGTCAGTATCAATGTCAAAGCCGTCAAACCCTAGGCTATTGATTATGGGGAAGTGTGTGACGCTACACTGTAAACCTTGGACGACCATGCAATTCCAGATAGTTGTAATTTCTTGCCAATCATTAGCAGTCTGACAAAGTATACGAAAGCTGCTGGCTCCACGATTTGTCTCAGGCTTGCAGCTAATCTTGCAAAATATTGGTTGGATCACTTGTGTTATAATGCACAGGTCAACTTCATCATGTCAGTTGAGTGCTTCCGGTATGTAATTCACGTTCTGTTTGTTTACAGATATTGGTAGCGGCCTATGGTTAAGCACGCGGCTTGTCGTGCAGTTGTTTTTGAATATCTAAATGACCACAGTGGGATTTTTACTTTGAATCGGTGACACTCCAGAGTGGTTTTTCAAGCGTATAAACTCCATCAAATTGCTAGGGTGCTGTTTTTATATACGGGAATGGAGTGTTTATTCCGTCTACGCATCCGTCTTTGATCTTATTTATCAAATAAACTGGTATATATAAGTAGATAAAAAAAAGACTACCAAGAGTATCTGAATGACAAAATTCGGGACGTAAATGTTTGCTTACTAACTACTTAGAAAGGTGCGTAGAAACAAGTAAAGACTAATATTTGAGAGAGTGATAAAATAGACATGATAGACTAAACCAACTAGGGGCCAGGCAATACTACGTGATGGTCCAGGTTGCCACAATTCGTATCATATCACGCGAGAAGTTACTTAATCAAGAAGTAGAGAAATAAACAAGGAGGCAGTCAAAGTGATAGAAAGTTGTGGTAAGATGACAAGAAGAACTGGTAAAATAGTCAGATCAGACGATTAAGATGAGAACAATATGTGGATACAAACTGGCCACTGACAGATTCCAATCATGTCACCTAGGGCCTCCAACCACTGGTTTCTTTTGTCACGTGGACCTCAACCTAAAAGTCTTCACAAGACCTAGACCAACACAAAGATTTCATCTACTGATGCCATTTTTATACTGACCGCCCGTGACTTTCCAGTCTAAACCTACTTCAGCAAAATTGTGCGGTGAAGCAGATGATGAGTCGAAGGCTCACCTCATCAGTTGAATTTTTTTTCTTTCTGAAACTCTACGTTCTACACTATTGACGAAATGATACATGGTCTACGCGGCAACAGTGGTCAGACACCCGAAGTCTTCTCAGTTTCTCTACCTCTATTGGCCATGTTTCACAGCTATGAAATAGAGAGGAGTGAACTGCTGCGCATTAGACGATCAGATCACGGAAGTACCTTATATGGGGTAATTTAGTCAAAGCCAGCCAAGCGAGACATGCGTCCATGCGGAGATTCTGTTGGCCACTGACCCACCAGGGCTCATCCTATTTCCCAGGTAGGTGATCACTCTAAAGTCGGGCGACTAGAAGTAGACCACCATAAGCATAGCCTGACCGATAGGTGCTACCTTGACGTGGTGGTCGAGCTTTTATATGGCGATGATCCACCAAGCTGTGATGGTGGAACACTTGTTCCCTTGAGATCCTATCATATCAGAAAGGTCTGTTGGGTAGTGATTAAACGGGAAAAAAAGTTACCCTTACCCTTAACATGTTCTTAAACAACGTCTTCCATAATACAGACCAATTGTAGCATTAAAAAGGCCGTACGTGACCTGGCTCTAGCAGATTCCCACTGCGCTCTGCGATCACTCACCAATCTTTCTTTTTCAGGTAACTCAACCTAACCTTCAACTGTGTGAACAACCAGGGAGTGTCAACCGCCCTCACAATCGTATCTGCGCTCAAGTCCCTTCAGACCACTATCCTTCTTTCCCATCCATACGTTCTTACCTCACTTCTAGTCTCTCACTTAACACTCCTACTCAACGTTGAATTATTTCTAGCTCTGCAGCTTTCGACACTGGTCTACAGAACAGCATCCCTGGTCTCTATAAACCGCGCCTCAAACTGTCCATTGGAGGCTTCATTATCCGCACCCCTCCGTCAAATTGCCTAACAAGCTGTTGACTAAAACTCCAGCAACTTAGACTGTGGATGTGTGTTGTGTTTGTGAGACACAAATGTACACCTAACCTCTCCCGGCCAATTCAGGAAATCCACAAACTTCACCCTTCGAGTTTCTGGAGATTCGATGACCAGCTCTCGCTGTTCTTCAGGTGTAAGGATAGCATTAAGTGTCAAGACAAAAGGTGCTCCGTTCGAATGAATCTCAACTAGCAGTCACCTATACTCTGTTAGACTGAACGGTACACTGAGAAATAAAAGGAACAGTGAAACTCACCGTTCTCTCTTTGTACTCGCTGCTTATGCACCAACTCACTGCAGTTTGGATGAAGTGAAGGATGAGTTCTACCGAAAACCTTCTAGCCTCCTTCTAAAAGCCAAACATTCAGATGTGGTTGTTATTTCAGGTGATATCAATGCACAAGTGGGTAAGATAAGTCAGACAGAAAGGCACTTAGGTTGCGCATACGGAATCCCAGCTGAACACACTAATAACGGTGATCGCCCACTACAACTGTGTTGAGGTAACCATTTATTTCTAGCTAGCACAAACTTCAGACATAAAGAAATACATTGTCTGACGTGGCATCTACCAACCTCAGCTCAGCAATGGACAAAGACCACATTGCTATCAGTCATCGATGGAGAGAGCCGGTGGAAGACTACCGCGACCGCGTTGATTTGAGAACGTGTATATCTGGCTAAATGGATGTGGAAAAACTATAGCAACAAGACCATTGGGAGTGCATTTAGACAACGAAGACACCAAGGAATCTTTTAGACAGAAAGCGGTTACAGTTATCGAAACAGAACATCATACATCTAGAAATCCGACCCCATCCAGGCTTCCTCTGGATGAGTGACATTATTTTGTTTCGATAACTGCCTGGCCAGTTTCTCATTGGGAGCTTCCTTAGTGCTCCTACTATCGAGCTGCGCTTGTAATTGGTCTTGTTGCTAAAACTTGTTACGTCCACTGACATGCAGAAATAGAGATGCTCGAACCGACGTGTGGTCGCTATCCAAACATGTGCTCCAGAAGGAGCGATAGTCTTCTGTCGACTCTCCATGGATGACTGATAGCAATGTGGTCTTTGTCCATTGCTGAGCTGAGGTTGGTAGATGCCACGTCAGACAATGTATTTCTTTATGTCTGAAGTTTGTGCTAGCTAGAAATAAATGGTTACCTCAACACAGTTGTAGTGGGCGATCACCGTTATTAGTGTGTTCAGCTGGGATTCCGTATGCGCAACCTAAGTGCCTTTCTGTCTGACTTATCTTACCCACTTGTGCATTGATATCACCTGAAATAACAACCACATCTGAATGTTTGGCTTTTAGAAGGAGGCTAGAAGGTTTTCGGTAGAACTCATCCTTCACTTCATCCAAACTGCAGTGAGTTGGTGCATAAGCAGCGAGTACAAAGAGAGAACGATGAGTTTCACTGTTCCTTTTAGTTCTCAGTGTACCGTTCAGTCTAACAGAGTATAGGTGACTGCTAGTTGAGATTCATTCGAACGGAGCACCTTTTGCCTTGACACTTAATGCTATCCTTACACCTGAAGAACCGCGAGAGCTGGTCATCGAATCTCCAGAAACTCGAAGGGTGAAGTTTGTGGATTTCCTGAATTGGCCGGGAGAGGTTAGGTGTACATTTGTCTCACAAACATAGTACACATACATGGCTTAATTCGAGGAATAGGGTGGACGTTGAAAGCTTAGATAAGTAGTTTGGAGTGTGGTTAAAGAAGACCAAGGATGCTCTCGTCTGAACTCAGATCACTGGCGAGACCTGTAGGAAATTAAAGATGGCGAAGGATGATTGACGGGAGACGTGAAGGTAGATTAGAAGATGAAGGTGTGGAACTTGAACACGTGTGAGGGAAGTTGAGTGCTGATAGAGTTGAAGGTGGTTGACACTTCTTGAGGTATTTGGAAATTTAGGGTTGGTGAGTGATGACAGAGCCAAAGGGATATCTGCTAAAGATTGGTCACACACAACCTTTTCAGAAGTTTGATAGTTTAGTTTTTTTTTTCCAGTTCCGGCTGTGAACCCCTATCACCGGCATGCGTATGCGGCGGGGAAGTGAGTGTGCTAGTTTTTGGGCTGACCTTTACTAACCTATTCCCATAGGAAAGGCAGCATCATTATAGTACTGAGGGTTATCCGCAGAAAATCTTACTGCTATCACACTTCCGTTCAGCCAGCAGTACAGCTTCGCCCCAGGCCCCTATTATAGCGTAGCAGTTCATCCTACAACGATAACTTTGTCTTCCTATTGTCCAACTGACCTTCGTGGTATGGTTGGACCTTGAGGTAACAAGTGTTCAACTAGTGTAGCTTGTCGGGTCATTGCTATATACAAGTCCGACCACGTCAAAAGTAGCGGATATTGGTCTTGTCTACTCAGAAAGTTGCATCATACGTAATTGAAAAATCCTAAAGCATGAGTGGTTAAGAAATGAGACAATGCAGTCGATTTTTTTTTAGCAAGAATACAGTGTAGAAGTATAATGACATGCGTTGAAATGAACGCATATACACTTTCCTCATGACATTGTTTTTGCTTGGTATAAAAGAAAGTTTTCCTGTTTACCTTTTACTAGCTACGTGTACACATCTCTGTATGAAATCGTCAACTAACATCCCAGCCTGATAAAGTTGAGTAAATGTAGTTACTGGAAAGTATTCTACTCTTACTTGATTAAATTATATTAAGTACTTGAAATATTTTGAATGCTATCTAGTAGACTCCAGTCCTAAGGATTCATAATAGCTTGTCGGTGAGGTGTTTATTTTAAACAAAAATAGTAAAATCTCTGCTATGGTTTTATGGAAGTAAACGTGTGGTGGTATATCACTTATAAACCGGACCATACTCAAGTTTTTGAAAACTAAGTGTCCTTAAGTCTCACTTTCATTACTATCTCCTGTCGTGAGTAGTTGACTTACGGTCTTAAGACCACGTACAGAAACTTCAAAGCACCACTATGGAATACTAAGGTAGGCCAAATGCAGGTTATGAATACCACGAACTATTATTATTATTTATTATTAGTCCCTTGGGTTCCTAGTGGAACATAGGGCTTCAGTAGCACGTCTCCATTTCATCCTGTTCTCTGAGATCTTTTGAACCTGGTCCCGCGACAGCCCAGAAGCTCTCATTTCTTCCTCGCACGACCTCCTCCATGTCACCCTTGGACGTCCAACTCGTCGCTTCCCATAGGGATTCCACTCGAGGGCCTGGCGCGTGATGTCCTCAGTCGGCCTTCTCAGTGCATGGCCAATCCATCTCCACTTCTTCCTGCATATTTGTTGCGTGATAGGTTCTTGGTTGGTTCGTTCCCAGAGTTCCTTGTTGCTTATTCTTTCTGGCCATCTGATCTTCAGTAACGAGCGTAAGCAGTTGTTGATGAATGTCTGTAGTTTATTGGAAATGCCTTTCGTGACGCGCCAAGTCTCTGAACCATACAGGAGCACTGACTTGACGTTGGTGTTGAAAATCCGTATCTTGTTCCGCATGCTGAGTGCAGAAGATCTCCACACTGGTTTCAGGCTAATGAACGCCTGTCTTGCTGTCTTTCCGATTCTGACTTTGACATCCTCGTCTGTGCCGCCGCCTGTAGTTGAAACAGTGCTTCCTAGATAAGTGAAGGAGGTTACTTCCTTCAAGTTTCTCCCGTTGACGGTGATTGGAGTTTGTTGTTGTTGTTGATGGTGGTGGTGCGGTATCTTCATCACTTCTGTCTTCTCTATATTCACCTGAAGTCCCGTCTTCGCTGCCTCTTCTATCAACTTGTTAGTTTTTGCCTGCAGATCTTCAAGTTTGTGTGACATTAGGCACAAGTCATCGGCGAAATCCAAGTCTTCTAGGTTCTTTTCCGTCGTCCAGTGTATCCCCCTCTTCTCCCCCCCCCTCTTCACGAACTAGGTAGGTGAAATTTACTGGTAGCTACTTCAAGGCTGATTTAAAAAGGGTTTTTCATGTTTGTCTGTCAGAAAATAAATTAGCAATGTCGTTAGATAATTAAGGCACGTAGTGGTATAGTTTTGACAATATTTAATCCATTATGAAATAACATACTTTCGTATCTCCATTTAGATAATGTCAAATAAGTTACTTTTCGGTAAAGCTCTGGCGTCTTATGATGAAGAAGATATTGATGAGTTATTATCCAAGCTCACACCAGAAGAGTTGGAGCAGTTAAACGACGATTTTGATCCAGATAATTCTCTGCTACCACCTTCACAGCGATGTCGCGACCAAACTACTAAGTCTCCTACTGGACCATATGATCGGGAAAAGCTACTCAGGTAATGTTAAGTCGTTCATTTTTATACTTATGGTCTTGTTTACTTCTTGAGGGATGTTCTATGGTTGAAAAATGAACTTAATGTGGTAACCACACACTATCTACTGTTTAGAAATGTATATCCCCATCCAATTGAAATGCCTGATCAAATGTGTATGTCTTATTGTAGGTTAGGTTTCCGTAAGCTTTTGCGCTTGCATCATGAGCAATGCTTCACATACATAAAAGAAGTAACGAGCTATCAAATAACCGAGTCTTTTAAATACTATAGTTACGGTTGGTTTAAAACTGTTTTGGGAAGCATTTATCTCAGTAATTTACTGGGTATGCATTACAGGATAGTGAACAATGAGTTTAATTGACTTATCCTAAGTGCTCCTGGATAGATGTCTATTCGCCATAAATCTACGCGAATAACGAGGCTGAGTGGGTGATGGTGTTCGTCTTACAATTTGTTAATTTTCCTTTATCGTGACTTCCTAGAATAATTTGTAACATTCAGTAAAATTGGCCTAGAGTTACCACTGAAGTCGACTTCGTTATCTTTGTTGAAGATCGTCTAAAAGTACTGTTCTGTGACTTCATTTATGTTTTATGAGTAGTGAAATGTTGAGCGGAAGTATGTGAGATAGAAATCGATGCTAAAGGTGTTTTAAATCTAATAAATCGTGGTCTATTTTAGATGACTATCTAGTATCTCCTAGCTCGATTCATTAAGCGCGGACTTAAGTTATGCATGTAGCTAAAACAACCCATTTTCGTATATTATTATTATCCTATACGATTACGATATTAAGACTGACATAAAGCATTTCGGAATTCACTAATTTTTTTCAAGGACTAACTTTTTATACCATAGTTTGTTGCTTTCTTTTTGAAAGTTAAATATACTGTCATGGCAGAATCTGGCTCAACTATATTGGTACTTGATTTTGAACCAGTGGGTCAGTGTTGCAACCTCTGCTGCCTTTACAGAGATTTAGATGATGAAGTAAAAAGCGTAACTTGTAGTTCATCACACAAACAAACGTTCCGTTATCACGGAGTTGCGTTAACTGTCTAAAATTCTCTTCAATTTTAACTGGTTTTTTTTTAAATATAGGTATCTTATTGAGAAAGCCAAAGCTGAGAAAGACTGGGAGGAAGCTGTACCTTTTGAGAGAAAAAAAAGGGGCAAAATATTTACACCGAAGCAGACTTTATCACAAAGTGCTCAGAATGAATTATCCGATATGGGTTTCGATGTAGAATTTGATGAGGATGTTAATAAGGTAAGTAGATTGTTTCCTTTGTGTACGTAATGTGTTAGTGAGTAGGATCAATACATAATTCCAGATGATAGTCTGAAAGTGTATTGGTTATGCACCTGTGGAATAATCTAACGTGAACTTATATCTGTTTTTACACAATAGTGGCTGAAGTAATTGGATGCAATAACTAATTTAAATTTATTGGAACCTTTGGAGTGTGAGGAATTTCCTTAGGTATTCGTTATTCGGACGGTTTGTGACGCTAACGTATCCGATTCAAACAGATAAAATGTGTATCGCACATATTTTGGAACTACCTACCGTGAAGTAGGTTGTTAGGTGGGAAAAATCTTGAGGTGGTCAAATCATGGTAACAGCAATACGCGAGCTTCTATGGAGTACTGTTATTAACTATCTACTCTGTTTTGCTAAGGTTCTCAGCATGTTAAATAGGCAGCCTAAAGCTAACAATAACTAACTTGCGTTATTACTTTTGTTATTTCTGTTTTCGTCTTATTTCTAGACCTGGTGTTATCTTCTCCCTACTGGTACTGTTTTACTAGGCTATTTTAAAGTATGAGAAGCTGGGCTAATAAACTACCGTCCTAAGTACTGACTTTGGTCGATTGAATCAAATCGATAACGTCTAGTTTATAATACAGGAAGTCAGTTGTATTATTATTAATTTAGAACGCAAAATTTGTACAACATAGAAATTAAGAGATGTGCTGTACAAAATAGTAAAGCAACATTATGAAGACAGAAAACTGAATGGAAATTGAAAACGATAGCAGAAGTGGTTTATTTCAGAAGTAATCTCAAAGATACATTCAAAGAGGGGTGTCCACTGCTTTAGATGTTTTAGTTTTCAGTGTTAAAAGAGACAAAAACTGCATCATGATCGTCACTGGTTTTGCTTCTGAGTTATATCTACTATCGTATCAAGCCACCAACTTGCCTGGTCTCTTGGATCCTATCCAGTTAGTCATGGGGTACCTACAGCTGTCAACACAACACAGTTATCCTTCATTCCACGACACCACATCATACACTGGCCATCTCTTCGCTTCTTCCGGTGACCGGCGAACAGTAGGCAATGTAGAAGCTGCTGGAAGGACATGCACAATACGTGTCCAAGTCATCAAAGCCTGTGTTTCAAGATGACCACACAAGAAATAACGATCTCTATCACTCTAAAACCCACAACCCTTCGCCTCAGAATTATTTACTTGGTCTTTCCATTGGATGCAAGCGATCTTAAAAGGACAATGATGATCAAAAATGCTAGGTTGTCGAGCATCCCAGTAAGGAGAAGCCAGGTTTTGCAAGGGTTAAGCAGAACTACCCACACCGGTGTGTCATCTGCCCGAGCTTTTATAGGAGCGTTAACATCACGACTTTTCCAACCGTATGTCAGAAGTCAGAGTAGAATGCGCTAATTTGGGTCACATTTGGCAATCTTACGAGTCACACTTCCATCAGTACATACAACTAACCAAGTATACAAACCTTTCAAGAACTTTCAGCGATTCACTACCAAGGGTGAAGTGCAGGTATGGTCTCCTCCCAACCTTGTAGAAGTACTTTGCTCTTTGACTGTATGAAGCACATACGTACAGATACTGACGACTAACCGATTGATTGCGATTTGAGCAGCCTGTATGTTGTCTGACAGTAAAACGATATCGTTAGCCAACTTCGAGTCTAAAATCCTTTCACCTAGCAACAGTTCGACATTACCACGCAACTTCTTCATGGGTGTCTAGTGGTCAAGCTAAAAAGAAATGGCAGAAATGGACATCTCTGTCTTGCTCCACTATTAGTTTGAAACATCGGGAATAGGTAGCTGTAAGCCTTCACTCTACCTGAGGTATTTAAGTATAGAGCTCTTAAGATGTCAGTAAACATCTCCAGGGCACCTTTTTAACAGGCAGTTTCAGATTACAGTACTGTCCATTTGGTCGAAGGCAGCTCTTATACTGATGTTTTCCTATAAGTTCAAACATGCTTCGCTCTGCTTTATTTAGAGACTTTATCACTAAGCTATTCAAACCATGAATGAATAACCTCCATGTAAGATGTGCTTGTGGCTTCTGTTTGTCCATACTACAGTGTTATTGTTAAGAAAGGTGATTAACTGGACCTGGCACAGGTTTATGTAGTTAACTGTGAGCCATGTCAACACAGTTTGTTTGTTTGTTAACCTGCTTGTAAAATCGCCTTACCTCCACTTGTTTACCAAGTTTTTAGCTTACTCGTTTTACTGCGATATTATGTAACCGTTATATAAACTTTTCTTTTTCATCGTCCTACCTTTCAAGATATTAACTATCAGAACGTCGTATTTAGGTCTGATAAACTCACTAGTAGTAGTAATAATAGTATCATGTTAGTGTATATACTCTAAGTTATCCATTTTCTTGTTAATGTACCAGTCCCTGTTTGTTGGCAAACAGTTGATTCACTCATCTGTCTAGGATGTAAGTAAAATATGAATACTGTCTTGATAACTGTTAAGTCCCTCTTTTTGTATTTATTACAGCTTTCCTAGTGAAACATCCTCAGTACATTGTGGCCAATGGAAACATCCTTTTTTATATTTTCTTGCGAGCTATTAAAATTGTTGCTATTACTATTTTCGTGTATTTCTTTTTTTAAGGCTCTTGAGAATGCTACTGAAGATGAACTGGTTGATTTGGCTGCAGTTTTGGGCTTTACTGGGATGCTGAATCAAGTACAATTTCATGCTAGTTTAGAAGGTCGTAAAATGGAATTTGGTGGATTTTCTGGTGTGGCTAAAGCTGAACGTCCAAAGATTCTGCCAGATGAACCACCTAATACCACTGATGTAGAAGTGAGTTTTCTTTATGTGACTTTAGTTGATTTATTTAAAATATTCACTTAAGGCATCATATAAGAACTGTTCGATTTCACTTCAATCATCTACACTCTGTATTGTTATGGCCTATTGTTGTGAACAGGCAAGTTTCAACTAAGGAATCGCATCGCCATTGCATACGTCGGGTATTAGGATCGAGAGTACTCTTGCAAACCAATATTAGTATTCAGCCAATTAAGCTTTCATTCGTTATGCGGCGGCATTCAACTCCGTTGTTCGAGAAGTTTTATGTCTATGTCTCTCACTGAAAGGCTCTCTACTCGAACACTTGTGGGTATGTTATAGCCTAGGTGATATATCCGGGGAGCTGTACTCGTCGAGTGGTGTCTGTCAAAGCCGTCTCCATTCTTATTCTGTTTTATCATAGGTATTCTTACGGAGGTCTCCCTCTTGTCATCTGACTGCACAGAGGTTGATCTAATCGCAAAAGAATTTTCGTTACACCTAGAATACACAGATGACATAGTCCTGTTAGGTGAAGACGCTGACAAGATGTGGAGTCTTCTGAACACTGAGTGGGAGTTTGAGAATGTTTCAGAGGCGTTTCTCACCATCCAAATGCAAATTGTTGCCCCAGGATTGGTCATCAACGGTGCCACGGCTAACAATAGAGAGTGTAGTGGTTGAGTATGTCGACCACTTCACTTACCTGCGAAGTCGGACCAACCCTGGTGGCTAGCTTAGTGACCGATGAAATCTCTTCATGGATGCAAAAGGCTCGACTGGCTTTTGCCAACTCACGCCGCCGTGATATCCTATTGTCTATTAAGGGTCGCATGTACTGTACAGCAGTTCTCTCTGTTCTACTGTATGGCTGTGAAACATGGCTATTGAAGGTGGAGGACATGAGAAGGCTGGCTTCAGGTGTTTGACCACCGTTGTCTTCGTAGTATAAGCTGTATTCGGTGGTGTCACCATGTGAGTAACTCAGGAGTCAGGAGTAGAGTTTTAGGGAGAAGAGGTAAGTCGGTTGACGAGGTTGTGAACCTTCATCGACTGAGATGGTTGGGACGCGTGTTACGTATGCCTAGTCACCGACTGCCTCGTCACACAATGTTGGCTGAGGTGGGTTCAGGCTGGAAAAAGGCCCGAGGTGGCCAGACTAAAACATGGCACCAATGTATGAAGTCTCTGACTGTTGGTTTAAGCCATGTAGGACGATGCAGACTAGGTGGTTGGGGTCCACGGGACAAGAGGAACCAGTGGTTGGAGACTCTAGGTGATATGGTTCACCATTTTCTCATTCTTCCCTTCTCTCTTCGTACGTTATATTTCTTTTGACTGAATATTCTTTTCTTCATCTTCCACTTCACTACCTTTTTACTTGATGTACTGATATGAGGTGTGGCTACTCTGACCGTTACGCAGTAATGCTTGGTCCTATGTTGATAGATGATGATGATGATGGTGATATGCTATTGTATATTGTATTCAACTATCGTGTGATGGAGCGGCACACACTAGTTTCATTTTCCCTATCATCTGTCAGGCTTGTTAGTTCTTATCCAATGTGACTTAAATTAGCCACAAAAACAACTGATGGATTAATAATTATTTTCTTTATCATGTAGGTTCATTCAAGACAGTGATGTCCCAGGTTGATGAACGAATGTTGAATATATATCCCAATTTATTTTAATGCCTAAAAAGAAGGTCTAAACCATGGTGTCGATTGATTCACTCGAAAAATCGTCAGAAAGTCGACTGTTATTCCGGCCATGACTGTACTACAAAATAATATGATTGCGAATCAAATATTCTTGTGAGTTACTCGGTGATAGTCACCACTAAGAACTCACTATTCATTTTGGACTAACATGTAGTCCAGTAAAATGGCAGCGTTTCTTGTCTTGAGCTTGTGTTAGACTTTTCTTGTGAGGTATAACCACACTTAATGAATAATTCAGACAAAAATACTTAAAGCAAGACTTAAATCGACAATTATTTAATTAAAGAATAAGCTTCTAGGCTTATGAACCGAAGTTCTGCTTAGGAGGGTGTATAATTTTAGTTGGTAATCGGCAGGAAGCTCTGGACCTAGGTTTCGTGCTTGTCGACACTCGTCGGCAACCTCGACGGAAATGATGTCCGGCCTGAGATATGAACTCGCATCACCCAGTGCTGCACCCAGTGATGTTACCATCGAGCTATTCGGGTCGCTACTGACCTGTAGGACCGCAGTACATCCACTGATTGATCACTCGAGAGTAACCAATCTTATGTTGTATAGTCCTGAGTGCTGACCGAATTCTGCTGGTCAAGATTTCTCTTTGGGGACATTCAAGTGCTACAGATCGGCGGTTGGAGGTAGTTGGTTGGTATATTCACTTTTTTCCACTATCATCAAGATTCGTAGGTTTTTTATCATTGATCTTCATTTAGTTATTCTCTCTATTCTCTTATGTTTCCTGTTTACCTTAATAAAACTCACTTCTTGTTTGTTGTTTCATTCCTGCGCTCAGACTGCTTCATTCGTTGAATATATTTACGGGACGTTGCTGTGCTGCACAATGATTCAAGTTGCTGTATCTTGACATCAACACATTAAGATACAATTCAACGAGATGAAATGCAGGAATGTAGTCATAGGTCATGGGAGATCATAAGAAAAGAATAATAAAATAAATGATAACTTCCCTTTGATACTGCTAGGCTGTTTGTTATTTTACCTGCTGACCTGTCTGCCTGAATTGAACCACACTCCAGCGGTAGGTAACTGAATAAATTATTGAGGAAATGAAGAATCGGTCAAAAGCAGAAGAAAATAGTCATAGAGAGGAAGGAGGAATGAATGATGAATTCAGTATGACAGTTAAGATGGGGATGGATACATCTGTGCCACACACCGATTCTGAGCCATGTCACGTAGAGTCTCCAACCATAGGTTTCTGTTGTCATACTGACCGCAACCGCAAAGTCAACCCCGCCCCTCCCCCTCCTATACAGCTCAAACCAACAGCCAAGGACTTCATACACTGATGTCATGTTTTAGTGTGGCTTCTCCTGACCTTTATTCAGCCCGAAAATACCTCAGCTGACATTGTGGGACGAGGCAGACGGTGAGTAGGTATGCGTAACACATGTTTCAGCTGCTTCAGACAATGAGTTACTCATCTCCATTATGTATGCACAGATAATTCATGTCTCATTATTTTTAATGAGAGTTATTCATTCGTGTAAATTGGTTTTGTAGTCTTTCTACAATATCTGTTTTTACTCGCCTCTTTATCCTTTTCATCTCCATCTCATTCTTACAGGATAGTATCAAAAAGCTGGAGGAGAACAATTCAGAATTAACAAAGTTGAATCTGAATAATATCAAGACAATGAGTGCTGAAGTAGTCCAACGCCTGTGTACTGCTATCACGAAAAATACCAAGCTAACTGAATTACATATGGCAGCTACACGTCTAACAAATGCCATGGTTGAACCATTCTTCGATATGCTTCAAAATAATACAACATTGAAAGTGTTGAATTTGGAGTCGAACTTTTTAACCGGTTAGTTTTGTAAATATATAGGTGTTTATTTTTATTATTTCGTTAAGTATGTACTGTACGGTGAGGTTGCTTTGTTAGTGACCGACTAGTAGTTTTGCCTCACTGAATTATTCCAGCCTGAACCATTAGATTGTCGGTCCGAATTTCCCTTCCCCTACCGAGGTTTAAACAGCCAAACATTGTGACGGACATCACAAAGTGGATACATGTAGTTTGTTACCTAGTAACCGATTCCGCACGTGATTGCTGAGTTGCATGGACGACGATAGATGTTTTAATGTAACATGCTAGTGGAAGTTCTTAAACTGCCAAGCATGTTGGGTGACGGGCTGATAAGAGAGGTTCAGATTATAATCATATTTACGACTGTCAGTGTCAATCATTCAGGAGGCCAAAAGCTTACAAACTTTCTTTTGAAGCTATGATCGATCCGATTAGACTCGACTTTCAATCAGTAGGTCACAGGTTTGAATACTGCACCGGTTTCCGAGGTTCGTGGAATCAACTGGGTGTTCATTATTTTGGTGTCATATAATCCTGTAAGTGGTTTTTGAGTTAGTAGCTTATTTTTCAGGCTATTCGAACATCCAGGTAGAGCTGAGGGTGAGATAAACACCAACCATCTAGAAATGCTTTCATTCAGGCCTATATTCATAACATCTACCAGAGAAGTTCTACGCACGTGGTGGGGTTTCTTTCACAAAAGTAAGATGGTGAAAGTGAATGCCTAACTCTTATCACCAGATTAGTAAATACAGGAGGTCAAACTAGGGGAAGTTTGTAAACCTGAATTCCAGCTCCACCGTGTAGTGCTCACCAAATTATAGCACATTTGGCACCGATGTTATATCACGTTTATGTTTTCAACACTCATTGATTGGATACCAGCCAACAGCCGTTTCTTTGCTCTTTGACTAAATGGATCTCCGCTGACATGCCTACTGACTCCGGTTCGGATGACCTGACCGATAGCTGCTACCTTGATGCGTTGGTCAGGCTTACGTATCACGATGATGTCACGAGCTATAATGGCTGAAACGCTTGTTCCCTCGAGGTTCCTACTAGAAAGGTCTGTTTTGGGTAGTTATAAAGCAAAAAGCAGTTACTGTTGTAGTGTAAGTTACTGCATTATGATGGGGGTTCGAGGACGAAGTCGTACTACTGGGTGGATGGGGTGTGACAGCAGTATGGTGTTTCCCACAGATGACCAGCAGTAACATCCCGATGCTGTCTTTCCCATTGGAAGGGGGGTAGCAATGGTTTCCCAGAAGTAGCATACTCCTCCCCGTCCCATGGTGTTCCGGTGCCGTCATTATAGGTTTTCTTCATCTGGCGTTAGAACAATCAAATTTCATACCAACAATCCTCAAAAGGCTGTTTGTGATAGGCTTCAAGCAGATGTCCCATGGGCTCTGCAGTCACTCCAATCTTTTTCAGGTACCAAATACCCTTGTATGCGTTCACAGCCTTCACCAGGAAGTACTATTCACTGCCTTCATATGGCGGAAGTGTTTCCACAAGAGCAAAAGGGTGAAAGCCAATGTCTGGCGCTTATCACCGGATTGGTTGATACAGTGGATCCACCTAGAGAAATTGGAAAACCCAGATTCCAAACCAGTGATGCGCATGGGCTCCAAGTTCCTGAAACAACGACTGACGTATAAAAACCTATTTTGGTCACCGCAACCATGGGAATGCAGTTGCTAATGCTGCTGCACTGCCTTATGGATTAGACTCGGGGGGTGGTCCACTAAGACAACCAATTGCTCTGGTTTGAGCTCTTGGGCAGTATATCAGCCCTCACACAAAATATAAACTAACAATATGCAGTGAAAATTTCGAAGCGTTCACCCAACTTTACTGCAAATATCCAAACCTTCTCCACTGCGAACACTATAACCAGTTGTTCAGTTTATTGTTATTGTATTGTTTTCGTTGATTTTACGTATGAACTTTATTTTTTTTTATTACTACCGTTTTTCTTTTTATCTATCTTCACTTCACTCAGCAGCTGCTCTCCATTGCTTAGACTTCTGCTTTGTCTGTACCCTTTTGAGTCACTAAACATTTGCCCCTATAAAGCTGTCCTCCTGTGCGACATCTAACACAGCTCTCTTGAAACCACACTCGCCACGTTCAACGTTCGCACCTTGATGTAGATCAGACAACAGGCAGGTTTGGCTAGGTCTATAGAAAACCTCGCTATTTATGTATAGTGCATTTCAGAGACCGGCGTATAAGATCCCAGTGAAATGCTTAGAATTAGTTCCCCATCTTTCAGCTCGAAAAGTATGTTTAATGTGCGCCTATCGCGAGACCCTACGGCATCGGCAACCCTCCTCGGTGGTCTCGATGTCGCACCAAGCTCTCGAGCCAAGGTTGCACTCTATCAACAGTCGTCTGTATGTCGTTAGTTTAGAAGGTTCAACTTGAGTAAGAAGTAATCGGCAAGAGAAACGATGTCTTTTTGTCGTTGCCTATGCTCCGACTGACTGCAGCCCGGATGCAACCAAGGATGAATTCTGTCATCAACTGAGTGACGTTATCAACCGAATGCGCTGGACAGATATTATAGTACTAGCTGGGGGCTTGAATGAGCAGGTTGGGCGTCTAAATTCGGAGGAGAGTCTTCTAGATAGCCAGTGGGGACTAGTTGGCCGCAGCTCGGATGATGGGGATCGTCCTCTGCAGCTTTGCACAAAGCATAACCTATTTCCAGCCAGCGCCAACTCTCAGCACAGCCATCGCCGTTATGCTGCTTGGCGTCCTTCCTCTGCCACTGAAGCCTGGACTCAAATGGATCATATTGCAATCAACTACCGATGGCCTGAGTGCATACAGGACTCCCACTCCATATGGAATACTTGTCTAGACTCTTATCTTGCTTTGGTGTGTGCTAAGCTCGTCTTGGGCTTTGGTAGTCATCAAAATCGTGGTTCTAGCTACCGATCCTCCAGAAAGTGTAGGGTGTACTTGCGAGGCGCCTTGAAAATGGCGAGTAAGGCCACTTGTGATTTGGAAGAACGTCCCCCTAACATACACTGGATCTCTGCGAGCTCCCTGCAACTTCTTGACGCCCGGCGGATAGCGAGTACAATGGTTCGCGTAAGTCTCTTACGCGAAAGATTACACAACGCTTACACAGGGACCAAGAGACTTGGTTGTCAAAACGCTGGAGTGAGATGGAAGCAGCAGCTGCTGTTGGCAACAGTCGGAAGCTGTTCCAGCTCATCGGAGCCACTAGCAACAAGAATCCTGGTGTCAGCGAGACGGTTTGTGGGGTAGATTATACGCCGATAAACAATCTTCAAAGAAGCGTGGGACGCTGAGTGAAGTACTTCGAAAAGCAATTTAGCTGGCTCACTGCTCCAGCATCCTCAGCTTCAGTGTATCGTGCTCCATGGTCAGTTACCACTGACCTGTCTAACGTAGCTCAGGTCCATAAGGAATCCCAAGTTCTAAAACGCCACTAGGCAACCGGCCCAGACAATTTACCCTCGACTCTTTTTAAGGATGAAGGGATGACTTTAGTCAGCGAATTGACTAAATTGTCGAAGAAGGTATGGTAAACTGAGTATCCCTTTACTCTAGAATGATACCGTCATTGTATCCATTTTTAAAAAGGGTCCACGTAGTGTATATAACAATCATCGGGTTATTAGTCCGTTACCAGTCGCTTCGAAAATATTAGCTGCTATCATACTTCATGTAGTTTGCAAAACGCGTAATAAAATGATTCGCGAGGAGCAGGTCGTGAATACATTGATCATATGTTTCTTCTCTGCCAAACATAAAGTAAATCAACAAAGGACGTTGTATCAAATTAATCATTAGATTTAGGAGGATGAGAGAAGTGAATTTACAGGCTATTCAAAGTAATGCGTAAACTATTTTCATGTAATCTAAATTTCTCAACAAGGAAGCCTACATTGTTCAAATCAGTGATCATTGACTTGATGAATCGATGTTGCATCATGGTCTAACTGCTTTTATTTTAGCTGATATAGAATGTTGGTGGTTAGGCGCTGACTAGGTATGTTCAGAGTATATCTCAACCTCCTCACTTGATGTCTATAATGAAGTAGAGTAATCAGCGAAGTTGATCAGTGGTGGGTAGGTAGTTTTTTCATAAGTATCACACAGTGAAATAGTATTATTAACTTATGACGTTTTGAGCAGAATTTATTGCTCATAATTATGTCAAGGTAATCACACAACTTTCTGGAATAGTTTTCATTGTTCTGTTGTTTTTTATTCTTCGATTGAATCGGTCGTTTAATTTTTCACATATCCGGAATCGTTGCTGTCATTTTTATCACATGTGTCAGATGTTGATTCGATGAACAAAGCCTTAGTTATCAATCTGTCTCTCTGTACACAACATAAGAAGGGTTCTGGTGTTCGACCACCGTTGCCTTCGTAGCCTAAGCTGTGCCTCGTGGTGTCACCACGTCAGTAACCCAGAAACCAGGTGTAGAGTTTTAAGGGAGAGAGGAAAGTCAATTGATTCAGTTTGGGACCTTCATTCACTGAGATCGTTGGGAAATGTGTTGTGCATGTCGAGTCACCATCTGCTTCGTCCTGTAATGTTATCCGAATAGGTTCAGGCTGGATAAACGTCAGGGGTGGCATTACTGCATGAAGTCCTTGGCTGTTAGTTTGGCCCGTGTAGGGAGATGCAGACTAGCCAGTTGGGTTTCACGCGACAGCAGAAATTAATGGTTAAAGACTCCTCAGAATCTATGTCAGTGGTGCAGATGTATGCACACTATCTTCATCCTAACCGCTATACTGAATTCAGCATTTTCTTATTCTTTTCCTGCATTTAATTGTTTTTAACCGATTTTTCTTTCTTTCCTCATCATTCATCTTACTACTTTGTTACTTGATGTGGTGATATGAGGTGTGGCAACTTGAACCATTACGCATTGCTGCGTAATGGTGATGATGAATCTCTCCATATACCTACTTAAGTTAATTCACTATTTCATCTGGTTGTGTGTGACAGCACTCATGGCTATGGCTGATCTCTTCTAGATTTCTTATCTTATTGGGGTCTACCATTCTATGTTTATCTGGGTTTCTGCGTCCTGCTACCCTAATTAACCCTGGTTGACTAGTTTGGTCTAATCATTAAATCACACAGTCACTATATGGTATTCGGTAGGCTGAGTTGTTTATTTTGATACATTTTATAGGATCGTGTAACTGACAAAGTTTGTCTACATGTGAGTATGTAGGCTTAAATGCCAGCCTAATCCCGTCATCAGTAAATAATACTGTTTCATTGTGTGTGCATATAAAAAAGGAACTACAATGGAGTTATCCTCTACCACACTCCCCAAATTGTATTCTTATGTAGGCGGTTTTTCCGTGTATCTTAGTTAATACTGATGAAGTGTCACGTTTTTAGTTCATCAATTTGATGCATTTCATTTGTTTTCACACAACTATCAATTGGTTAGTGTATATTTCCACCGTTGTCTGATGTGTTTTAACCCTTCTCGGAGGAAAAATAGCTTGAAACATTCATGAAATTAGTGTGGATTTTAGTTAGTACACACTTCAATTATTGAACAGAATGAATTTTCGGCTTCATCAATCAGTAAATGCTATTGGTGTCAGTATTACACATGGTAGTAATAAGACCTGTCATCTACTAGTAGTTGAAAGGAAAATTATAACATTTCTTCAGAGATGTGAAGTGGTAACGTTGGCAACAATAATTACGGTAAACGTATGACTTTAGATTACGGCAAGCGAATCTATGAGAAGTTAATTCATCACCAAGTTATTATGATATACAATATGTATGCGAAATGGTCATCGGTGGATAACTGATGTAGCTGTCTATTTCTAAGCCGTAGCTACTGAGCGAAGTGGCGCGCTACCGCTATGCTTTATGCTTTACTGACTCTTCGGCATTGGATGGTGCAGGTTCCGATCACAGAGGATATCTCAGTTTCTCCATGGTTGTAGATGTGCTTTGTCTATGATTGCTAAAAAGCATGAAGCCTTATTCTGAGACTTCCTACTGACTGATTTACAACACCCAACATCAGTGTAAGATTTCTTAAAAGTGGTGATCTAATTCAGCGAACTATGGGAGGATAAAATTGTCGAGGTTATACGGACTGTTTTTTTCTGAAAAAAGTGACTTAAGTCCTTTAACAGCGACTAGTTCCTCACATTACGGTAAGAAAGCAATTTTTTCTTGTGTTCAGTGTAATTATCTACCTGTCCTTCGTTTCTCTGTCCAGGTCACTTTACCCAACTGAGTTATATTTTTTAAGTCGTATTGCTTTCCCAGTGACGCAGATGCATCCTCACAAACTATCTTTATCGTAATCGTCAGTATCACATCTCTTTAATTTTGATACCATCTCTTCCTCCGGTCTTTTACGATTTTCTACAACTTTCGACCACATTTTTCTTTTTACTACTGTGTTTCATCCTACTCTCTTGTGTCTTGATGTGTGAAGTATGGCAACGTAAATCGTTACGCGAAATTTCCGGGTGCAACGTTAATACTAACTCTGCCTAATTTCTTCCCGAGCTTAAGTTTGCATTGACAAGGCTTTCGATTACTGTCTGATTGTTGTTTCCACTGACACACCACAATGTTGTGTCAATGCACTTTACAGCAAACTCAGCCAGTTCTATGAAGTAAAAGGTTAAAAAATGCATTATGCTTTTCTTTTGATTACTTAATAACAACGCTGGACATACCCAGGTGTGGGCAGCCAGGTTTTATCATTAGGTGTCACACGATAGGTGTGGCTTATTGTCTACTGTACGAATGTGCGAAAGGTTACTGAGCGCATTTCGATATCGATTCGAATTACCTTCAGTAGTCAATCGGTTTTATTGGAATACACTATTTTCATAAAACTTCACTGTATACCTTGATGCTTTGTTTGCAGTAATGAGGGAGTGAAGTGGAGACTATTTACTGATGGCTGTGAAGTCCGCCTATTATTTTGCTTTGGATTATAACTCATCTCACTATTTTTTTAACTATGCCACCTGAGGTATTCTTGATTCACGATCTAATTCTAATTTACCAGGGAGTGATCAGAAAATTACGAGCCATTGCATTCTCAATAATTGATCCGGCCTATGAGGATTAACTGCGAATTAATAATTGTCTGAATGGGCTACGCGTAAACATATTTGTTCCCTCTATTTGTTTCCCATACATTTCACCTAGTTTCGAGTTAAATTTCATTGTGGATGATGGTTGAAGTACATAGCTGACCATCACCAGATGAACAATTTCGAGGCGATTGGTTTGAAATTTACAGCGAATCGGGTTTCCTTTAAATTTTAGTCACCATCTTTCTTCATTCTTATTTTACGAATTCCTCTCCTACATGTCGATTGATATCTGAGTGCAGCAATAAGAAACCTGAACACAATAGTGTTGAAGTCACTACACCTGAAAAGATCGAAACTAGAAAAACCGAAGAGGAAGTCATTTATTAATTAATTTATTTATTTTCATTCTCTTTTTCCTATGATATAGGAAAAAGAGCATGAAAATAAGGAAATAAGTAAGAACTTGATAATCAGCTTTCCTAGTAATCAAGTAGCGGGTTTTTTCGCAGGATGGTGGCTGACTTCCAACGTTCTCTGCTACTTCAGATTCCTTCTATGCATATCGGATAGCAAGGCCTACTATCTATCTTAAAACTCAAATCAGCCACCAGTGGTGTTATACATAGGTTCTGTGTCCGCTAGTTGTGCATGCAAGGTATTGTCTACTCACCCAAGTTTCTACAAACTTACAAGCTCTTCACCGATTGACTTACTTCCTTGAACTTGAATTGAACGTATGATATCAAGGTGGTTTAATTACAAAAGTCCAATCTCTTTTGTAATAACATAGCATTTTTATGTAATAGACACAGAGATGTGTAATTTTTCAAAATTTGCTTCTCTTATTTCAGGTGTTATTCTTGTCCGTTTGTTGGAATCAATAGCGCATGAGAAAAGTGGAATAACCGACTTACACTTAGCTAATCAACGCCAGTCTGTACTCGGTGTAAAAATCGAACAAAACTTAACAGAATTAATTCTAGGCAATCCACGTCTAGTACGTTTAGGCCTAGATCTAGAAACAAGCGATGCTCGTGTACGCACCAGGGAACATGTCAAAATGAATTTGGATCGTGTATCTCGACAAGTCCGACGCAATAAAAATTAAATTCGTATACACAGGACTGAATATTGTATTCATTTTCGTTTTGATTCGAAGGGAAAATTTATTTTTCTTCGCCTTATATATATATCATATTGTTTGCAGTGATTTTTTCCTAATTTTCCTAATTCAGAATAAGCCGATATCTCAGTAAACCGCAGTGTCCGAGTAGACACTCTGTCTACTTCTTTCCTGTTTCTTTTACTGTCAGGCGGTTGGTGTTCTTGCTGGCGTTTTGTATTACTATACCACCACCAGTTCACCATGCCTTTGTTATCTACCCACTTGCATGTATTCATCCGTGTCTACTTGCTTTCTTAGTAGTTATACATTATGATCCTCTGAGGAATGTGAACCGATAATTTTGTTGATCAAATGTGTTCCAGTGTAATTCTTGAACACCACTCCCTAGATCATTGTTAAAGATGCGATAAAAAGATGCATATCTTTCCTCATTTGCATTCATTAATCCCGTTTCTCCTGTCTCCTTCCTACCTGCTGCCTTCATGAAAGTATATGTTAGCCATTTTCATGTATAGCACAAGTTCATCACCTATTACTTTGTGCTCAAATAACTGTCTGCTTTGCATACTTAGTAGTAATTAACATTTTGTTGTTGTTATTATTGCATTTCTTTTCATTTTGCCTTTTCAAAGGAGTATTTTTCTTTCAAACTGATGGTTGCATAAACCTTAATTGGCAAAAAGGATTGAAATCATTTCCTGATTGTCACTCCCTTCTCTTTTTCTTGTTATCATTATACTAGTAGTGCTTTCCAATAGATTTTTTCGCCTAAGTTTTGTAATATTACTTACAATTAAATTAGTCATTCAAGGTTATATAATCATATAATAAAGTTGACTATCATTTGTATTCACAAAATGTTATTTTTAAAAATGTTAGTGAACTTTTAGATGTAGTTTTTGCTTTTAATTTATGGTTTCTTTGTTACCTTGTAGATATCAGAAATGGAATAACGTATTTCGTTCAACCTTGAACATATTCTTGCTCCCTTTGAATATTGAAATCAACACGTTTCAGGTTCTTGTTCAGGAGGGTTACTGTTTAGGGTTACATTAGGCATAGGAAGCAACTGATGACGTGTTCCAGTCTTAATTAATGCAATGATTACGCTCATTTTTCGTATCGTTTGGACTGACGTCTTTAAACTTTAAGTTGACCTTGTTTTCAGTGTGTCAAAACAAAGTTAGCTGAAGTATCATTTCCGCAGTGTAGTTAAACTTCAGTTTTTTACGTCTTCATCTCTGATTGAACACTGAGGTATATTTTCTTGTTTTTGCCACTGTGGCATGAAGACACGATTATCAAGCACAGCGTTGTGTGTCTACTTTCCCCTTTTTTCTGGTTTTATGCTACCGAGCATTACTGTTGTAGAGTTGTGAAACATGGCCACTGAAAGTAGGAGATATAAAGCGGTTACAAGTTTTTGATCATAGACGTTTTTGTAGCATTGCTCGTGTACGGTAGAATCACCATGTGAACAATGTTGAGGTTAGGCGAAAGGTGCTAGGTAAGTCAGAAAAGTCGATTGATGATGTGTACCTTCATCGACTGAGGTAACTTGGACACGTATTGCTGATACTGAGTCACCGCCTTCTTCAATATGCCATGCTAGGAGAAATTGGATTAGACTGAAAAATGGTTCAATGAATTGCCAGACCAAGACGTGACACCAGTGTATGAAGTCTCTGGTTGTTGGTGTAAGCCATGTAGGTGTATATTGTGTAGTTGGTGTCGCCGAGGTAATAGGAATGAGTGGCTGAGGACTCTTAGTGACATGGTCATAATGGCACTGACATCCACTGTTTGATGTCCTCTAATGCCTGAATATTTTATTTACCTTTAGTTTTCAAGTTTTTCTCCTCCTATACACTTTTGTCTACTTTGATATCAATCTTTTTCTGTGTATACGCTACTTCGAACTGTGACAACGTGAACCGATGCACTTGTATGTGAGGTTCTTCATTGATTTTATTTGTCTGACTGAGTATCATTGTTGTCTCTAATATGTTAGTTTTGACTTGGTTTACGGTGAACTAATCTGTATGAAGCCGCTAGATTTTATTTATTTTTGAAACCAACCTTAAGGTTCAAGGTGGATGACCCATAAGAAATATATTTTAATGAAAGTAAACGCGTAGAATATGAGAATTCATCAAGGCAGTTAATGTGATCACTAAACTGAGTATCTTCGTTTGCTTAAATATAGGAGTAAAACTTGGACTTTGTAATAGATTGTAATTTCCTCTTTGCTTCTTTATCAGGGATCATAATAAAATGTTTAGGACAGGATTTATTGTCCATTGTCTCATCAAAGTAACTGCACAGCTCGAAATATGGTTCTCTTAGTCTCAGTTGTCCCTTTTCCTTTGTGATACGGGTAGCAGAATTTTGCAGACATCTGGGACACGTACTTAGTCATTCGAATGGCATTGATAAAATAAATCTGGATTTGGTTACCAACCTCTCCTTCCAACAGATAGGTTTGTTTCAAGAATATCACGCTATGCTATTCTGTTATGTGATTGAGTAACTATAGCAGAAGTAGGATGAACGTCTAAATACAAGTGTCCATAGGAAACTTTCATATTTAAACCTAGATTTGAGATTTAAGTCATCCCGACGTATGCCAGTTTAGGTAGGTTTAGTAAAGTATCTAAGTAACTATTTACCTAGATCTATTCATAGAAATAATGTAAGAATAGCAGCGGTAACACATGTTAATGGTAAAAATAGTAGCGAAAAAGAGACGAGAATTCAAAACTTCTACAGTGTTAGCATACAATGACGGTACCTCAAAGACGAAACGTGGGATTTTCAATAAGGCTGACGTTAGAGCGGCATTTAAGCCTTCAAAAGTGAGCTTTACAAGCTAAAAGATCCTATTGAATCAATTAGACATGATACTGTTGTTTACCCAATCTCTTGCAGCAGTTGCTAGGTCGAAGTACTCAATGAAAGGTGCTCAGGCTCTTCAAGCACAAAAGCTGCTAAATCAGGATTGATAGACCGTAATAAGAGAAAGAATCTAGAGAAAAGCTTTTCTGTGTTTATGAATGCAGCCACATATTAGGATGAGTCGGAGTGATAATCCTAAAAACTTATTTGTTAGAAGGGGAGATCGATAACAGTCTTTATCCAATCAATACCATAGTAGTGATTGTGCATCCTGTTTCAGATATCTGCAAAATTCTATCATTATCACAAAGGTAAGGAGAGAATTGGGACTACCTGAAGTATGTATCAGAGTTGTACAGTTACGTTGATTTGAGACTATCGACAATAAACTGTGCTCGAAGCATTATTATCCAATGAAGAAATAGTTCTGTTTCACTTTGTGATAAATCATTATGAGATTTATTTGGTTAGTTGTTATATTCATGAATAAGAACAAGACATGTATCCGTGAAGAAATATTTCTTTTCAACGGCTTTATTATCAAGCTGTGCAGTCGTATTTATACTCGATAAAATGATAGATAATTGCACTAAAAAGTTGCTTAGTCAATATGGAAAATATACAATAGATGTAAATAGTAGTATTTATTCAAGTGCAAGAAATAGAAAATGGGTCACTGTCACTTTACTGAGTATAAATGCGAGTAATGAAGTTGAAATTCATTTTTATTAATCAAAAAGGCGGATTGCAATAGTCTTTTAGGGAGCAGAGGGTATGTTTAAATCTGCCAGTGGAATTACGTTGAATGGTTGAAAGATAGGCCAACTTCAGAATTTTTCAACATGTTTCAAAAAGTGTACAACTAAGGCGATCCAACAGTTTCCGGAGTACGATTGCTAGACAACTAATAACCATAGGAGAGGCCACTTAAATAAATTAAAATAGTCAAAGAATAATCCTTTACAAATCTCTGTTTCAATTTGATTGAAACTAAATTTTCGTTTTCAAAACAAAGCAATCATTAATCGTGCACTATTGAACTGTATAACCCACAATAAACTTCATTTCTTCTATGCTGAAGTCATCTTGCATTGCACATTTTGGTTGTGAATTATTTCTTATTCACTGAATTTAATTGGGTAATTCTTTTCCTTGATTACGAATCCACTCTTCATGTCCTCCTTTTTCTGAGAGTATTCTAACGATTCATGCACACAGACCAATGCTAATCGATCAATATACATTATTGTCGTTCATGTAACTTCCAATCATGTCTGTACATCTGTCGAAGTAACACATCGGTGAACTTCTGATTGATAAGTTGAGATCTTTTAAGTTTCTATTGTAAACTCAAAAATTTCACTGTTTATAACCATCTAAAGATAAATTAAACTACATAAGAGATAATAGCATACTATTCCGATCAACTTGTTGAAATTGTTTTCATTAGCTTCATTCGTTTACCTCGCTTAAAATGTTTCATTAATCATAACCGCCGATTAGGTTTGACAAAAAAATCTCAGCAGTAACTGATTTCAATGAGTAACTGTTATCTATACTGTTTGTGCAACTATCCATACTTATCACCTAGCTGAAATTGTTTGCTCCCAGTATACACTTTTACTCCCTATTTGAGTTGTATTCAAGATATTGTAAATGTCTACTAAAGATTTTGTGAACAATTAGAATGTGATATGACCATATTCTGCATACCCAGTCCGTTATTTTTACTTGTCTTAAGTGAATTAACCACTCAGTGTACAATTAAGTATGAATTCATATCTAGGAATGATAAATGTTGTTGATAGAAAACATAATTCAACTCATGGATTATAGTTTTGTCTATTTATCCTTTGCATAACTCCAATCGCCACTTTTGTATATCTTTACCAGTGACTTGATATAGCCTGAATTATATGTATGTGGACGCTTGTTCAGATTCTACCCTTAATGGTCAATCACTTTCTCCGTAAACAGAAAAGGCAGTAACAGAACTGAAAGTGTACTTAGCAACGTCAAGAATGTATACAAATTACAAGGTATGTATATCACAGTGACCAGGCTATTTTCAGGCCTACTGGATTTAAATTCCATTGATTTTTCATCTCTCCAATATACCTGATACACGCCGGTTCATATGTTATTCTCCGAAGCAAAGCGATTAGTTGAAAAAGGCTTTAGGCATATGCAGCTTCCTATGAAGATTTCGCCAATCTTTCTGTACACTGTAACACTGTCGATTTAGTTATGTAACTGAGGTCCTAACCAGTTATTAATTTCGCTTAGAGCACGGAGTATTTTTCTCATTTGAGTGTTCATCGGAGCATTAGCTGTGAAGTTTGCTCTACCCGTCGCAATCCAACTAAGGCTTAATTAGAAGAAACTGTTCGAGACTGCTCCGATCGATAGACTGTTTTTTTGCATTCAATGTAACAGTTGAATCTAGAAAAGGTCTGATTTATGATACTATCCAACCCAACTGGACAAAACACCTACCGTGCAGAGTGAAATTGTAATCCAGTTAGCGACTGTGTTTTGTTGCTCAGTTAGAAGATAACCAGGTTGGTAGTTTTGAGGCTGTCAGTCCATTCAATTCCAGTCAGTATCCAATCAAAGCTACTTACTTCTTTTGAAAAGAAATTTTCCAGCTTTTCAATAGCCCCATTGGTTAGACACAGTAACTGTTACATAATACATCTGATGTTGGCAAGCAAAGAAAATACACTTAGTGAATATTACTGCTTTCCTAGAATTGGATGTAGTATTTATTGTATCATCTTATTAGAGTGTATTACCTATAAACTGTTCAGTAGCTCGCTCTATCATTACTATGAGAATATTTACCTCAAATGTCATAAAATGACATTTCAACAGTGAGTATTTTCCATTAGTCATAGACTTTGCGGTATGACAAATTTAGAAATTGGAAGTGCATCTCAGCGTTTATTGAAATATCAATTGAGTAGAGCTAAACTTTAGTGACGGTCGATCACGTTCAAGTTATGCACTGACAAAGTGGGACCAAGTATATGAAGAACTATGGAAATATTGGTGAAAATAGTACATTAATTACAATTTATAAATCTGTTTTGCACGAGAA